GGCGGGACAATGAAAAAAACACATAGCTGTTATCTTAATAAATGTAAGGTTAACATTTTTTAAGACAAGCAACTTCTCAATAGAGGAACATGGACAGAATCATTTACGTTTTATCCTTATTAAAAATAACATGCACTCTTCTTATCTTTACGGTTTGTTTTCTTCTTTGCTACTCCAAGCACAGCAAACGCAAACAACTGTGAAAGCAGCCCTTCATGCTGGTCAGCGAACACTCTTAACTTCTTTCTTTTCTTACTCTGCAAACAATTGTTTCACACTTTTCCTTTCTTTGAATATCCAGTATCTCCTCCCTCATTCTCACTCTCAGCTGCTGTTTCTTAATTCACTCAGGATCTAAGTACTCTAAAAGAACTTCCACAGTCAACTCCTCTACCAGGGTTTACACCTCCATTCAGCCTTTTATTATAGCTTGTTATCATTATATCTATAACTTATTATATTACTGAAATTAATTAAAATTAAAAATTTTAAATTCAGTCCCCCGGTCACAACAGTCACATTGCAAGTGATCAGTATCAACACGTGGCTCGTGGCTACAATGCAAGACAGCACAGATATACATTTCCATTATCACAGAAAGTTCTACTGGGCAGCCGTTATAGCTTATTTATCCGTGCCTCTATTCAATGCCAAACTTCACTTGCAATACTAGCTATCATTCACTTTTATTCCAACAGGTCTTGCCTGTTATTTCTCCCGTCTTAACACCTTCTTTTGACTCTTTCTCCAACTATTGCCCCATTTTTCTGCTTCTCTCTGAAGTAAAATGGCCCAGAATTTTTCTATAGTCATGGCCTCCGGCCTCTGCTCCCATTCTTTTGAATCCTCCCCAAACTGGTCTTTAACCCACACTCCATAACAATGCTTACCAAAATCATGTAAGGCCTCCACATTCCCAACCCAGTTGTCAATCCTGTCTTCATCACAGTTAACACATCAGCAGGATTTAAGATAATGTATCCCTCTTTCCACAGCGGTTTCCAGCATACCTCATGTTCTCTTAGATGTCTTCTATCTCCTGAGTGCTGCTCAATCCCACTGCTGCTTCCTCCTCTCTAGCTGGCCTCTTACAATGGAGCAGCCACTGTCAGTCCCCGTCCTCTCTCCTGTCTCCATGCTCACTCCTCAGGTCATCCCATCCATTTTATGGCTTTAAGTAGCATCTAGATGCTGAGGGCTGTACATCTGAGTCCCTGGCCCCAACCTCTTTCCAGAGCTCCTCACTGACTACTTGATGCTCCACTTGTCTGCGACAGATCTCAAACCAAACAGCTCTAAACTTCACCTTCCTGGACAAACCTGCACCAACTAGAGGCTTTCCTATCTTACTGACAACTCGACTTCCAGTAAGTCATCCTTGTTTCCTCTCACACACCCCACACTCAATCTACCTTTAATCCACCTTTCAAAAGTATACCCAGAATTTGACTCTCTTTTTCCTCCATGCCACACACCGCCCCACCCCACAGTGTGAGTCACCTTAATCTTACTGAACTCTTGCCACAGCAATGCTTTCAAAGGTAAGCAGGTCACACATATCTCTCCTCTGTTCAAAACCCCCATTGATCCCCATTTCACTCAGCATAAAAAATTCAAAGTTCTTTACAATGGCCTACAAGATTCTAGGTGATTTTAAGTAATAAATGAATTGAAGCAAAGACTTCAGAACTACCTTTACATGTCTTAGTTACTTCTATCAAAGGTCAGTACAGACTTGGAACCTACACATTAATGGCTAACCAGGAGGTACTTGAATAGATGAAGGCCTAGGTTGGGCAAAGCCTGCTGATCACATTTTTACAAATCACATTATTTAACCTGTATAAGATGTATTAGGGTATATTCTAGCTTAAAGGCATTCTTGGTGGGGTACCAAGAATTCTTGGTGGGTACAAGGGTACCCACCCTTGTCAAAGCACAATTCAAACACTCACCATCACCTGCACACACATCTTTGTGTGTCCTTCAGAGTGAGTTCATCAGCTCAGTCTGTTTAGCATAGCAGGTAGGAGGGCCAGATTATCTCCTTTTCAGCATTCTACATGCTCCCTTTATCTCCACATCTGACCTGACACTTGAAATATCCTGTGAACTCTGCCCAAGGTGAGTATTTAGAAAAGCTTCCCTGGAGAGAATTGGTACATGCATAAGACTGGTATGTGCAAGAATCACCTGCCCATTCAAATTATTTAATTATGGTTCCAGGGAGCAGTAATCAGAATGCTACAGCAATGCTTGTATTTAAATAAATAAATCACTACACTGTGAGATCCTCAACAGTTGCAGCCTATCTTAGCCATTTTTGCTACCTCAATGCTTGGTACAAAATAGACACTGGTATCTTTCTGGTCCATTTCTGACTGAAGAAACTATCAGATGATCACATGAATAAACACTCATCTGCAGCTTGACCCAAGAGTCCAAACAGGAGGCACAGAAGCAGGTCAGGGAGTAGAGACCTAAACAAAATTACATATTCACAATACTGTACTATAGCCTTGAAATGAAGCTGATAAGAACCAAGTTTTCTTACCTGTGCTTGTTTATGCATTTCTCCTTTAAGATCATCAAAATATGTGCTTTCTCCTTCATCATATTCTGCATCAAACATCTCCTTCAATTTTCTCTTTTTATCCAAATGCTTTTTCTTGGCACTTTCCTCTGCATTGGGGTCAATTTCTTCCTTAACTTCTTCTACATCTTCAATCTTAAATTTCCATAAGAGAAACAGTTGTAAAAGTTTGTGGAGATCTTTTCTTTAAACATTAAAGCAGATTTTTAAAGTTCTTTTTTTTATGTTTATTTTATTTCTTTTGAGAGAGAGAAACAGAGAGAGAGAGACAGAGAGAGAGAGAGAGAGAGAACAAGCAGGAGAGGCAGAGACAGAGGGAGAGAGTGGGTCCCAAGCAGGCTCCACAGTCAGCACATAGCCAGCATGAACCATGAGATCATGACCTTGGCTGAAATCAACAGTCAGATGCTTAACCAACTGAGCCCTTCAGGCGCCCCAGATTTTTTTTTTTTTTCGCCCCAGATTTTTAAAGTTCTATCCGAGCTGCAAAAATCTTGGTTGTGATCATCATGAAAAAAAAAACAAAAAAACAAAACAAAACAAAACACAGACTTTGGCTCTAAAAACATGTACTGCTACAAGAGGCATTTAGGCATCTGCAGCACAATAAACTGTCACTCCTTCATCTGGCTGGAATGCCAAATATAAATAAAAATAACAAGCATTCCCACCCAGATGCTCCCCAGAAATTGTTCTAAAGAAATATTGGGGAGAATAGGGATTTAATTATTTTAAATGGTACTTAAATTTAAGAAGAAGAGAATGATGGCAAAAGGAATGGTAGAGATAGAGACAGTGACTTGGGAGATAAACTTCTATGACTGAAGAATTATAATGATAACAAGAGGTAGTAGGTGTCACCCAAAAGATCAAGAATAACTAACAACTTTGATCTATTCACAACCTCCATATTTTTAGGAAGGAATCCATCCACTCTGTAATCTACACAGATAGTAAGATGTGCATTTCTTTTTAATGATAATTTTTTTTTTAACGTTTATTTATTTTTGAGACAGAGAGAGACAGAGCATGAACAGGGGAGGGGCAGAGAGAGAGGGAGACCCAGA